GAGATAACAGAAAAGGAGGAAAAGAGAAAGAATATTGTCATGAAAGGCCTAGTAGTCAATGAAGGGAAAAGAAGAGAGAAGATGGAGAAATTGTTAGAGGAGAAGATAGAAGCGAAGGTGAAGATAATAAAAATAAGGAAAATAGGAGAGGACAAAGAGAAGGGCAAGGATGGTGGTGGTAGAATTAGAGAAGGAAGAGTAAAAATGGAAGGTGATGAGAAGAAAAAGAAGCTGAAAGGCAGAAAAAGAAAGGAGGAGACACGGATTTAACGTGGAAGAAAGGGAGATAAAAAGGGAGCGGGAGAAATAGCAAGGAAGGAAAGAGGAGAAAGGACATGGATAAGTAACGGGCAAGATAAAAATAAGAGAAAAGGGGTGGAGATGGAATGAAAAGAAGAAGGTTTTAAAAGATGAGAAGAAAATGTAAAGGAAAGAGGTAACGGGGGAAGAGAAGAGAAGAAAAGAAGACATTCTTGAAGTAGAGATAGATGAAGAAAGAAAAAAGAAAGGAGGAGAGGAAAAGGATGGAAAGTAGTTTTTTGGAATGTAGCGGGAATAGGGAACAAAGATAGGGACTTTTGGAAGGGTTTAGAGGGAATAGGATGTAATAGTGTTATCAGAAACATGGACGGAAGAGAAAGGATAAAGAAGATAAGAAGATTTTTACCAAAAGGATACGTATGGGATGTACAAGGAGCAGGCAGAAAGAGCAAGAGAGGAAGAGCGATAGAAGGCATGATCATGGGGATAAGAAAAGAGTTAGCAGAGAAGGGAAGAAAGATGGAGATGGATACGGAAGGTTTTGTGGTAAGAAGAATAAAGGTGGGGGAAGAAAGATGGAAGGTGATAGGAGTATACGTAGGAGAAGGAATAGAGGAGGCGTGTAAAGAGATGGAGCAATGGATAGAGGAGAAAGAGGATGATGAGGTTTACACGGTAATAGAAGGAGATTTTAATGCGAAGACGGAAATGGAAGGAGGAAGAGTTAGGGGAGAAGAGATTGCAGGAGAGGAGAAGATAAGAGAAAGTAATAGAAAGTCGAAGGACAACGTAATCAACGCAGAAGGAAGAAAATTATGATAGAATTTATGGGAAAAAGAGAATGGAGCATACTGAACGGGAACACAAAGGGAGATAAAGAGGGGAAATGGACATTTACAGGAGGAAGAGAGAACACGGTAATAGATTATGTACTAGGAAATGAGGAAAGCAGAGAGAAAGTGAGAAGGTTAAGAGTAAGATAAAGTGGATTCAGATCATCATTCAGTGAAGGTGGAGATAGAAGGAAACAGAGAAGAGAGGAGGAGAAAGAATCGAGAAGAAATAAGAAGGGGAGCATTGAATAAGGAAGGTCGTAGAAAGTTTGAAAAAAAGTGAATGAATTAGGAGGAAGAGAAAAAAGAGATAGATGGAGAATGGAAAAGAATAGCGGAGAAAGCTGAAGGAAGCAATGAAAGTAACAGAGGAGAAATGGAGGAAAGGAAACAAGGAGAAGAAAGAATGGTGGGATGAGGAGAGAAAAGGAAGGCAAAGAAGGAGCTGAAGAGGTGGAGGAGGGAAGGAAGAGAGAGGGAAGAATATAGAAAGAGAAAAAGAGATTAAAGAGATTATGTGAAAGGAAGAAAAAAAAGAAGAAAAACGAGAAATGAGAAAAGAAGGCAGCAGAGGTGAAAAGAGAATCAGAAGTATGGGAAATAGTAAATAGGGAGAGAAGGAAATGGAAAGGAGTAAATAAAGAAATTGAGATGAGGGAGTGGAGAGAATATTTTATAAAGCTGCTAAGAAGAGTGGAGGAGAGGAGAGTAAGAAAGGAGAGAAAGGACAAGGAAAGCAAAGAAGAGGAGGTGGAGGATGAAGAGGAAGAGAAGATAAGTAGAGAAGAAATGTTAGAGGCAATAAAGAAGTTGAAAGAAGGAAAAGCAACAGGAATAGATGAGATCCGAATGAGTATGTAAGTACGAAGGAGGAAAACTTGGAAGAATGGACATTGGAATTTTGTAACAGGATATGGAGAGGAGAAGCCTGGCCGGAAAGATGGAAGGAGGGAGTGATAGTGCCGATAATGAAAAAAAGGAGAAGAAGAAAAAGAGGTGGAGGATTACAGGAGAGTAACCTTGATGCCAACATTGTATAAAGTATATGCAATGATACTAACGGAAAGGTTGAAGAAGAAGAAGTAGAAGAAAAAAGGGATAGGGCCGGAAAATCAGTTGGGATTTAGGAGAGGAATGGGTACGATGGACAAACATATGCTATGAATTATCTGATAATAGACAATTGAAAAAAAAAGGTGGAAGGCTGACGGCAATGTTCGTAGACTGAGGGCAGCGTTCGATTCAGTGGATAGGGAGAAATTAATGGAGGCAATGAAAGAGAGAGGAATAAAGAAGGAATTAAGAAAAAGGGTAGAGGAGGTAATGAGGGAGACAAGTTGTAGGATAAAGGTAGGGAAAGAAATAGGGGAGAAATTTGGATAGAGAAAGGGGTAAGACAGGGATGCCCATTGAGCCCAATGCTATTTAACATCCTGATAGCGGACTTAGAGGAAAAAATGAGGAAGGTGAAAAAAGGAGGAGTGAGGATGGGTGGAAAAAGGATATATACAATACATTGGCATACGCGGGATATAGTGCTGTTGGTAGAGGAGGAAGAAGAATGAGATTGATTGATTTTTTATTTATGATCAAAAGGTTAGAAGAGTACTTAGATCATAAAAGGTTGGAGTTGAACGCGAAGAAGACGAAGGTAATGAGATTTAGGAGAAAGGGGGGAAGAAAAGGGAGTGGAGATGGAAAGGAGAGAAAATGGAGGAAGTAAAGGAATTTACATATCTGGGATACAGGCTACAGAGAAATGAAGGACAAGAAGGGCAGGTGAAGGAAAGGATAAGGAGAGCAGCTATTATGGGACAAGCATGGGGAATAGGGAAAAGAAGGTTTGGAAAAGATTGGGGAAGAAAATTATGGTTATTTGACAAGTTGGTGTGGACAGTGATGAGCTACGAGGTGGAAATATGGGGGTGGAAGGAGAGAGGGGAAATGGAAAGAATGGAGGAAAGGTATATGAGGTGGACATTAGAGATTGAAAGGAGGACACCAGGATATATAGTGACCCCCCCGTGGACCACCACCTTGGCGTGGGGGGGGCTCACCCTTCGCAAGGGAATAGCCTTGCGAGGGATGCTAAGAGTGGTCTGTATCTCTTGTAGAGGTACACTAGGCCTGGTGGGGCCGTAGGGCTTCGGCCCACACCTTGGACGGTCACCAAGTAAAAAAAGACCAAAAAAACTAAACATGGATAGGCGATACAACAGCAACGTTGTTTCCGGCCCAGGCGAGTAGGATGCGCCAGGACCCGGCGGGGAGGGGGTATAGTCCCGGCCCCCACCCCGTCGTCATCACACGACGGGCAGAAGTACGTCAAGATGACGGAATCTGCAAGTGAAAAGGAGGCAGAGTGCACATCTAAGTCCGAGTCAGATGACTCATGCGAACCAGAGGGAGACTGGAGAATAGGCGACATGTCATCAACGGACATGCTGGACCTGTGCAAGAGGGATTGCTCCAAAATTCTCGAACGAATAAAGGTGGCACAAGAAGATATGGAGGACAGGGAGATTTGGAGCTGCTCAACGAGGATCTGTCTAATTGGAGGGTCCGGTTGAAGAGGGTGATGAAATGCATGAACGCCATAGGGCGTGATATGCATGACATCAGGCGGGACAACGCAAACTTGAGAAAGGTATGCAAAAACCGGAAGATTAGTTCTACACAGAAGAAGATAACTGATACGGGTACGGATCCCTGGTTGCCGAATACCAGCAACAAAGGGACCAACACGGAGGAAACAGAGTCTATAACAACAATAGGCAAGGCGGGGACTCTTTCTCTATGGGCAACAGAGATGCAGAAGGAACTAAGGAATCTGCGGTGCGATATGGAGGAGGAGAAAAACAAGAACTCCCGATGGAGAAAACACCTCACTGAGAGAATGGGAGAAGAACGTCCACATACAGAAAGAGAGGAGAAGAGAACTGTAGTGGAAGGAAAGAGAGCAGAAAAGGAGGCGCGCACAGAGAGAGAAGCTCTACCTCAAGATGCTCCAAAGAGGGAAAGAAAGAGCCGAGGGGAAAGGGGCGATAAAGAAAAAGCCCTTATAACCCCTGACTCTACATTGGATCCCAAAGGGAAAACGGAGATCCGGAAGGAGAAATGGTCCAGGGTTGTTGGCCGACGTGAACGGAAAGAGGCGGCAGCGTCGGGGAAACCTGGGACCAGCGGAAGGGACCGGATGAAGAAAAAGGAGGGAACGCAGCCAAGATGTTACCGCTGCCTGTGTCCTGGACACGTGTAGCGACGGTGTACATCGGCCGTGGACAGGAGTTCCCGCTGTTACAAATGCGGGGTCACTGGCCACATAGCTCGGATCTGCTTCGCCGGCCCGCGTTGTCCGCTTTGCGCGGACCTGCGTCGGCCGGCGGAGCATGTCCTGGGGAGCGGGGGTGTTGTCGGGCGCCTCCCTTGCGGGTTGGGGGGTCGGGCCGTGGGTCCAGTGGTGCGCCTTCGGCCTGGGGGTCAACTTGGAGACCGCCGGACACGAAGGGCCTTTTTTTTTTTTTGACGCTGGGGAAAGCGTCATGGTACCACGCACCCCCGGGTATAGGTGCGGGTTATGTGGGACTGTGGTTGACCCTTGTTGACCGAGCCACGAATGGTTTGACCAGGGGGCCCAAGTCCTACCTCACTAAAACCCCAGCGGGTGTTCATCCCGGGCGTTGGATGGGGGACGGCGAGGATGCTAGTTTCCTATGCCGTCCGCGCCGCCCCCCCAACCCGCCCTCCGGGGAGCTGCCTCAACCTTGCGGCCGAGACCCCTCCCCGACCGCACAGTCAATGACTGTGCGGTTTCTTCGCGGTTGCGGTGCGGGGCAACACCAACCCCACACCGCGCCCTTCCAAAGAGTTGGGGGGCGGGGCCATGGCTCGAGAGCTCCCGCTCGAGCCATCGCCCCCCGCCCCCCTGGTGGACGCATCCCCCGGATCCCCTAGAGGGTGATCCGGTTCGGCGTTCCATCAGGGGAGCTCTCACCAGGAGGTTCCTCTCAGGAGGAGAGGAGCCTCCTCCGTGGACGGTGTTGCCCTTCCACCGGTGCCTTATGGCTCCCGGTGAGAGGGCCCCGCGCGTCACGTCTTCACAGAGGGGACCCAAGGCGCCCCGGCCGGACTGGCAATGCCTGCCCGCTGGGGACACGTGGCCCCCCCTCGGCCCCCCAGCTGCGGCTCCCTCCGCTCCCGTGGGAGTTAGGATTCGGCCGCAGCCGAGGGGGTTTCCCGTTCGAGGGCGCGAACGCGCCGACCCCCGCCTATGCGAGGCGACACGCCCGCGCCCCGGAACCCAGAGAGGCCTTCGGGGGGGGGAGCCCTGAGACTTAAACATCCCCAGCCCCCCCCCCCGGAGGCCTCATCCCGCATCGTACTTAGACGACAACGCGGGTGTATTGTGGGCGAACCCCCCCCCGATCCCCGCCACCACAGATGGGTAAGCCCACCGATGGCGGGGAAAGAGAGGGTCCGCCCCCGTCTCCCATACTCTCGTCCCTCTTCCCTCCTCTCCTTCTGAGGGCATACCCCCACCGAGCCCCACCACCGGTGAACCAACCCACCGACGGCGGGGGAGGGCGGGGCATGTCCCCCTCCTCCTCCACGTTGCCGCTTCTTCCCCTAGCATCAGAGGCGCACCCCCCCCCGATCCCCGACATCACAAACGGCTAAGGCCGCCGGTGCCGGGGAAAGAGGGGGCACGCCCCCATCTGCTCGCTGGTCTTCGTCCTCCTCTTCGCTGTCCTCAGCCACTCCCTCCTCCCATTCCCTTGTTCTCTCTCCCTTCTTCTCTCTATCCCGCTCCTTCTCCTCCTTCTGCCGTAGCACTTTTTCGCAGAAGGAGGAGAAGGCCCTCCATGCTTCTTCGCTCTCCGTGATCTTTTTTACGATCACGGGGAGCCTCCCCACTGCGGCCACCAACTCCATTCGTTCTCCCGCCCAGGCAACACAGTTCTCAAGTGTGTGCTGGGCGGTGTCCCGATGGTGGCCGCAATGGTGGCAGCGCGTGGTGCGTTCCTTGCCTATGCGTCTCAGGTACTCACCGAAGCACCCATGCCCGGTGAGCACCTGAGTCATGCGGTATGTCACACCCCCGTTTGCCCTGCCTAGCCATTGTTCCAGGCAGGGCTGGATGGCCCCGACGGTGCGCTGTTCGGGAAGATTGGGGTTTTCCAGTTCCTCGGACCATTCTTTTATTAGGCACCGCCGGGTATGGACCCTCAGGTTACGCCGGATACTGTCCGTCACTATGGTGCCCCCCCTTTGCAGCCCGCGTGTACGTTTGTACACCTCGGTGTACATTCGGGCTAGCAATTCGACGGGGGGCACCCCGGAGATCACTCCGGCTGCCGTCCAGCTGACCGTACGGAACCCCCTGCAAATTCTGTTGGCGACCCGCCTTTGTAGCTGGTGCAGTGAGTCCTGCAGCTTGCGGGTCGCCCCCAGTTTCTTCGCCCATACGGGGGCTCCGTACATCAGCATAGCATGGACAGTTCCGGCATAAAATCGGCGAACCCTTTCGTCGGGCCCCCCGAGATTCGGCAAAAGCCGACATAGGGCCATCGCGGCCCTTTCCACTCTCGGGGTTATCCGACGAAAGTACTCGCCAAACGTCCATTTACCATCCAGGTGGAGACCCAGATATTTCATCTAAGTCCCCACCTCTACGGAGATGTTTTCCACCATTATTGTGGTTTTGGGTTGCGCCCCTATTCTTTTATTGTAAAAAAAGATAGCTTCCGTCTTTTGGGGCGCCACCCTCAACCCAATATCTCTAATCGTCCGCACCACGCGCGCCACTGCCAGGTTGGCACGTCCCTGCGCTTCTCCCCAGGTGTCTCCCCCGGCCAATATCAGGGTATCGTCAGCATAGCATATTGCCTGACAGCCGGGGGGGAGGGCAACCCGCAGGGCGATGTCGTACGCGAGGTTCCACATCAATGGTCCCAGGACCGAGCCTTGCGGAACCCCACACGACATCTCCCTGCTCTGCTCCTCGGCGTTTCTGTCCATATAGACCAACTGTCTATCCCGGAAGTAGTCCGCTAAGACCGACACCAGGTATGGGGGGACCCTGTGGTATTGCAGGGCCTCCCCACCCGGTGCCACGGCAGGGTGTTGAAGGCATTTGATATATCGAGCGATACCGCCAACAACACCCCGCCTTCCCTCGTTACGGCCTCCGCGACCAAGCGAACCCGCAATATTGCGTCTACCGTCGATCGCCCGGCCCGGAAGCCGTATTGTTTGTCATCCAACTGCGGACCACTCCGAGACAGGTGGTGGACGAGGCGGTCTGCGATGATCCTTTCTAGGATTTTTCCCGCCTCGTCCAGCAGACAAATCGGTCTATACGCCGAGGGCAACTCCCTTGGTTTGCTCTCCTTCGGAAGAAGGACTACATTTGCCTTCTTCCACACCCGGGGAAAGGAGCCCGTTTTGAGACACTCGTTATACAAGTGCCTCATGGGCTCCGCTAGATCCTTGAAGGCAAGGGTCCATGCCTTCCCGTGGACGCCGTCAGGTCCGGGGGCTTTCCCCCTTTTAATTTTCCTGACGGCGTCCCTTAACTCTCCTCTCGTGACCCCCATCTCTTCCTCATTCCACTCCTGCTCCCGCTTCTGAATTTGATGACTATCAATTCGCGGGAACAGGGTGTCGATTACTTCTTTTACGAGATGGGGATCCATGGTTTCCGTTTGAGGGGCCGTCCCTCCCTTGAGTTTATTTAAAACCATTTTATAGGGACGACCCCACGGATCCCTGTCCAGAGAGGAGAGCAGTTCCTCCCATGCCCTTGCCTTCGCCTGCCTTATGGAGGCGCGTAGGATGCAGCGTGCTTCTCTGTACGCATCCTACGCGTCCTCCAGGCCTTCCGGATCTAGCAGCGCTTGCCTTTTCCTCCTGTGGATTTTCCGTCTTGCTTGGTCACAGGATCGCCTCAGTTCTGCAATATCCTGCGACCACCAATATGCCTGTTTTTTAGGCCTATTCTTCACTCGGGGCATGGCTACGTCGCATGCCTGTGTTATAACATTTTGCAGCCATGCCCTTTGTTTCTCTAGACCTTCCCTTTGGGAACTGTCCACTATTAGGGCCGCGTTTATCGCGGCCAGGAATGCATCCTCATCAATTTTTCTGAGGGCCCATCTCTTGGAGCCGGCCTCTCTGAGTAGGCGACGCTGTAAGACCTCCTTTGTGAGAGTGGAGACGGAGAATGTGATGTATCTGTGGTCAGAATCTGTTTCCTTCTCCGTCTCCACCCTCCAACCGTGTATTAGTCTTCTGGCAGTGCGGGTCGCCCACGTTAAGTCGACTATTGACCCGCCCTGCCTCCTCCAACATGTCTCTGTCCTCCCTGTGTTAAGGAGGTCGAGTCTGCTTCGCGCCGCCCACTCGTAAACCTCGCCGCCCCGCCAATCGGTGCGCGGGGAACCCCACGCCACATTTTTGGCGTTGAAGTCCCCCGCCACCACCAAGGGGCCGGCAGAGTGTTTAATTTTAATTATCTGCCGCTCCAGGTTCATCAGCCTCTTGCCGAACTTTCTTCTTTCCATGTTCGGCAAGATATATACCGATATAACGGTGATGGGCCCCCAGGATACCACCGCAAATCCCTCTCCTTTATCTTTGGGGTTTAACGGTGGCGAATCGGATGCATTCCTCCTGACGATTGCAGCCGTGCCGTCTTCACTCACAACCCAGTTGTTGTTGTTTTTTGGTGGGTTGTACGGCTCGGCTACAATCGCTATGCCGTAGGATTCCTCGCACATGGTCTGTGCAAGGAGATCCTGCGCATTTCTCGCATGGTTCACGTTGGCCTGCACAATTTTAGTGGAGGCCATCGTGAACCATTATTTCTTCCTTCTGCTCTGATGCTATTGCCATAGCATTGGTGTCCGCCTTTGCCTTTTTGGTTCTTAGAACCCTCTGCTCCTTGGGGGGCTCACTTGGGCCCCCTGCGTTTCCCTCCTCTCTTGGCTTATTTAGCCTATTGAAGGGAATTCCCCTCTTGCCTTTGTGCACCGGCGCACATGCCTTACCTCCCGTCCGGTGGTTGGCCGGGAGGTTTTTGCTACTGCATACAGCGCAGTGCGCCGGTGCATCGCAATTCTTGGCCATGTGCCCCGTCTGACCGCAGCGGTAACATGTATCGCTGCGGTCCGTTTTATTGGGGCATCGGGCCCTTACGTGCCCCCCTCCAAGCATTTATAACATTGGAAGGGGCGTGCCTCCAGCAAATCTACCCGGGTTCGTGCCCAGCCTATTTTTATCTGGCCTTTTTTGGCCAAGGCATTAGCCGCTGAGATTGGGCAACGAACCCAGACTATCCCCATGCCATTGGGGGTCTTTTTCATTTCTCCCACACTTACTTCCTCCTCTTCGCAGCCTCCTTCATTGGAGACTGCATTCCTCACGTCGGAGGGAGTCACCGAGTCGTCCAGTCCTCTAATTCGGATCTCCGCTGACTTAGTGGGGCGTTGCACCCTGACTCCCTCCTTGTCTGCCAGAGCTGCCTTTAGTCTCCTTGCCAGACTATCGGCTAGCTCCTAGCTTCTTGCCCCCGGCACCTCGTACATGAGGGCCCCCGTGATGGCCCTCTTGATCTTGACTTCATTTTTAATGCCAAGATCTTCGAGGTTTATCTTTTGGCGTGCCTCCCGCATGATACTTTCATATTGTCCGGGAGGACACGTCATCGTCACTGCCGCTGTTTTAGGCTCCCTCCTTTTTCGGGGGGGTTGCGGCTTAGGTGCTGGTGGCTTGAGCGGTGTCTCTCTTCCTTTGGGGTTGGGATTTACCTTAGGGTTGGGGTCTTGGATTTTCTTCCCCTTCCTCTTCACCACCTCCGTCCATTCCGGATCGTTCCGGGGTGCTTCAGCGTCCTGCCTTGGCGCTTTTTGTTGTCCCTTGTTTTTAGGGACAATCAATGCCGTTCTGTTTCTCTCTTTGAATAGTCTGGCCGGGGGGTTGAGGGTCGTTATCGAGGTTACTTTGGGTTTCGCCTTCTGTTTCGACCCTCTCTCCTCTTTCCGGTTTCCTGTAGAAGGTGGTGCGCTGCCTGTGGTGCTTTTTCCTTTCGGGATTTGTTGCTTGGTCTTTTCCTTCTGTTGTGCCATTTTCTTTTCCCTTTCCTCTTCTTTCTTCTGCGCATAAGTGGGTATTGGGTTTCCCAAGCGCCTGTCCATCTCTCGCGTGATAACCCCTTCTATTAATGCGATGAGGTTATCTTGATTTCTTCGTTCCTCATCACCATCCTCCGTTGTTTGGGGGTTTAGAATGATGGGGACGTTCTTTCTCGTTCCCGGCAGCTCCGTTTCCCTGGGTGTTTCCCATCTCTTTCTACTTTTCCTTAGGCCAAGGGGCGGGAAATCCTTCTTCCTGAACATGGTGGTGGTGGGTGATTCTTCCACCACTTCCATTTCTTCCATCCTCTCCTCCTCTCCCTGGGTTGGCGAGAATCCCCCGCTTGACCGTGGAAGTGGGGTTTCCGGGGCCGCTTCACATGCGGCCCCTGAGGCTTCCCCACCCTCGAGCGGTAGTGGGTTTTCGGCGACCCATTTTCCTGTCCTTGCCGTCCGTTGGCTACTCCGGAGTGATCCTAATCTCTTCTCCGTGTTCTTCTCCTGACTTGCAATGTTCTGTGGAGCCGCGGCCTGATTTTTGGGCTTCTTCAACTGCTGCACGGTTTTCCTGAGATGTTGATTCTCTACCTGCAGGGCCCTTATTTGTTGTCTAAGCCTTTGCAGCTGGCTATCTATAGTTACGGCTCCCGGGTTTTGCGCTCTCAGCGCAAGTACCGTTGCCACCGCGCATAAATCAGCCGCCGACTCCTTTGCTTGCTTGACCAATGAGCCTTTTAGATTTCCCGAGCCCACTGTCACCTTGTAGATCCCCATAGACTTCTCAGCGACCATGGCTTCCAGGTCTTCTATGGGGGCCTGTTCGTACTCCTCCGTTTTCGTCTGTACCCTTTCCAGATATCCTTTAAAGGATTTTGTCTGGAGCGGTGTAACACGAGGGTTCAGTGTGTTTTCCTCCTGTTGCCTCTCCTTTTCCTCTTGATCTTTCGTCATCCTTGCTAATTTCTTTTTGTACTCTCCCGTGGTTTCCGGGTGTCCTCGCCTTCGTTTTTCTGCCATGTCAGGGACCCCGGGAATGCTGCTAGTTGAGGGCATCTCTTTCATGTTTCCTCTTAACAGAATTTTCTGCATTTGGGCGTTCTGCGATATTTGCAGTACCTGCTCCTGCAGATTGTCCTGTTGTTGCAGGCTGTCCTCGATTTTGTGCGTTATCATGGCATCTAATAACTTCGTGTGGTTTTTGAATACGGAGTTTTCCCTCTCTCCCTCTTCCAAACTGTCATATGGGTCTGTGAGGACGTCGTCGTACTGTTCGATGAAGGCGTCGCTCAGGTTACTTTCCTCCGGGGCTGAGGTCAAGTTGTTTCTCGATCTCGACCTTTTGACGCGTCTCTTCGGTGAAGACTTCTTGGTGGCTTTTCTCTTTCTCGCACCAAACCGTTCCACTCCGCTACACGTCATCCATTGGCCATTTGAGACACTTGAGACACTCGTGTCTGAGTCAATCCGTTGTAGTGGGATCGTCAACTCTCGAGTTATAACTCTACTAGTGTTCACTTTAGTTGGAGTTAGATCCTGTCCTTTGGAGAGTGGGGTGGTGAAAATCCCCTCTTCCTCCCGAGGTTGGCCATGAATCTCGTGGTTCTCGCCTTCATTCTTGTTATTGTTGTTGTTGTTTTGGTTGTTATGATTCATTGTATTGAATCCCACGTTCCCGTCACGGCTCCTGTCCCCCAGGGTATACCCCCACCGACCAAGGGGTGCCCCGAAACATGACCGGCCACACCCCAAGGCCGGACCCTGAGTTCCCCCGGGGAGAGGACGTACGTCATTGGCCGGGGGGATACCGCACCCCGGCCTGACTCCGAGCCCCTTACACACCCGTGTGGGATTTGACGCCCACACGGGCTTTCAGGGGTCCCGCGCCTCCGACAACGCGGGCACCGTGACGGGCGGCGCCACCCGGGGGCCCCACGGACGCTTTGGACAGGGTCGCCGCTCCCCGGCCCTGCCCTACACGCCGTGGCAACCAGCATATGTGGGCGCCCCTCGTCGAAGGCTTTTGACGAGGGGCAGGCGCCTCTCCGGTCGGTCGGTTCGGAAGAGGAAACGGTCCCGACCGACCGGGGATATCCACTCTCGCCCCAGGCCCCGCCTCGGAAACGTCCAAGCGGCCCTGGGGCAGGGCGGCCGCGGCACCCTCCGGGCTATGCCCCTTGGGTAACCCCTCCGGGCTATGCCCCTTGGGTAACCGCGGCGCGCCTTCTCCGCCATCCTCGGCCCGGATTCGGAAACGTCCGAGCGGCCCGAGGATGGCAAGCCGCAGGGACACTGGGACGAGAGCACGCTCTCCAACCAGCACCCTGCGACTTCCCTCTCGCCGTCGAGCCCCGCCTCGGAATATGTCCGAGCGGCATCGACGGCCGACCCGCGTGGTCCCCTCCGGGCAGTGCCCCTTGGGTAAACCCTCCGGGCTACGCCCCTCGGGTGACCACGCGTGGTCGTCTGCGCCGACCCAGCCCTGCCTCGGAAACGTCCGAGCGGCCTGGGTGCGGCCTACCCCAGGGACGCTGGGACGGGGACCCAGGCTACCCAGCCTGGAGACCTCCAACCAGCACCCTGAGGCACCTCCCTGTCCTCGGGAACCGTTCCACGAACGAGTCCCGAGGACCGATCAACATGGCCCCCTCCGGGCAAAGCCCCTCGGGTGACCATGTTAACCCCTCCACCGGCGCGACCCCCTCCGAGCAAAGCTCCTCGGGAAACCCTCCGGGCAGAGCCCCTCGGGTAGTCACGCGCGGCACCTCCGATGCGGCCCCCGCCGATCCCACCCCCAGGTGTAACCCCGAAGCAGGCCCCCCCTTGACAGAGGGGAGGGAAAAACCCCGGGCGGCAGAAGCCGCCTACCTGACAGGCGTGTCAGGCACAGAGCATGGTGGGAAGGGAAGCGCCGAAGCGCCGTGCAGTCCCTTCTCCTAACGGTGCCATGCCACCGGGCGTTTGAATTCCGTGTCGCCATCCCTTACCACATACAAGCCGAAGCTCTAACGGGGAAGTGGGCCCCGTCTCCCCAGGGGCGGAATTCTTTCACCCCCCGAAGGAGAGCCCCCAGATACGGAGGGCGTGCCCCCCGGACCGGGGGCAGTGTACCTGAAAAGGTACAGACCGCTCTTGGCACCCCTCGCAAGGCTATTCCCTTGCGAAGGGTGAGCCCCCCCACCACGACAAGGTGGCGGTCCACGGGGGGGACACGAAGGGCCTGGCGTTCTTACGCCCTCCGGGTGGGGACACAAGGGGGGTGAGGGGGCTCGTTTGGCCTAGCTGGACGGGATCCCCCTCCTGGGTAATGCTGGTTTCCTCTCCCTTTTGGAGGGGGGTGCTGGCTTTCTTGGTCCAGGCAACGGGGGCCGGACCCTGATTCCCCATTGGGGATGAGGGGGACGGCTGCCGCTGCTGGGATCGTGGGGGTTGGCGTCGTCGGACACTGGAGCCCGGCGCCGCCGACCGCCCACGTGTAAGGGGAGGAGGAAGACGGGTGGCCGCCCGCCGGGGACTCATGAGAGTTGGGCGGCCTCACGTTCCCCCCCTCAGCCGGAGTCTCTCTTTAGGGAGAGACCTCGGCGTTAACGCCGCGTGTCGATGGCCGAACCCTGAACCACATGGGGAGGGGGAAAGCCGCGACGCGCGGCAGTGGGAGAGACTGCAGGGGGTCCAAGTTCCGGCTTGATCCCCATTGCACGCGGTCCTTCCTGCGAGGAAAG